TGCTACCATTACTCCACAGCATACTCTTTTCCGAACAACTTGCTTTGACCTCTCAGGTCCCTAAAGCTGGCAGAATGATTAAAAGGGACCAAGAGTTCCAGGCAACTTCTAAACTCTCAACATTGGCCAAAACCAAAGTCAATGGCTATTGGTCTGCTACATGGTCCACCACTAAAAATACAGCAGCTGGCCAAGAAAGACCTGAGAAAGACCAAGGCAAAGAACCAGGCAGAACTCTTTGACATCTCAGCTACATGGCTCAGGCGCCCTAGAGCTGGGCCGGGGAGCTGGCTGAGACCACTCCTTTTGGTTCCTGAGCATCCCTACAAGAACCAGGCAAGAGGTCCTACTCTGTGTGCAGGACACACACTGTAGCTGGTCTGAGGGCTTGTCTGTAGAAGATCCAGAGCTCCGAGGAGCCCTGACCTCACTCTGATCCTGCAATGCTGAATTCAGAGACATATTCTGGCCAGGGTGTACGAGCCTGGGGAGACTGGGGGCTATAAATGAGGACTGTGTTCACACTTAAGTCAACCATACAGTTTCCTGTCATCTTATCACATGTGTATGCAACTCTGAGAAGGAGAAGGTACACCTGGCCCACTCGAGCAGGTCCCTAGAGCAGATACAGACAAGCCCACGTGCAGAACTGCTCCAGCCTTTCAGAAAGAGAAAGAAACTGCACCTAGAGAGAGTCCAGTCTTCCAGAAGCTTAACGTGACCCTCCCCACATCACCTTTCCTCCCTCAGTCATTATGGCCTATCATGTAGGCCTACTCGGGCAGGTTTTGGGGTTGAGCTAGCTCCTCCATCTGCCTGGAAATGCTGCTGATCAGGTCTTCTGATCAGGTCTTCTGACTGTGCTGACTTTCTTCTGGACCCTTTAGGTAAGTAAGTCTCATTTGACTTACTCAGGTAGTGTCTGTCTGGTCTTTCCATCAATTCGTGACTACACTTGACTCTGCCTTCACATCTCTCGTGCACTGCAGGGGCCACAACTTCACCAAGTTTCACTCCAACGTTCTGTGATGCTAACGGGCTCCCTCCCAGCAGCCTGGGGCCAAGTCCTGAAGAAACCCACTGACAGGATTCCCTAGCAAGCTCTCTCTCCTGCATCACTGCCCAACACTCTCCCCTTCCTTCCTCTCTATGCCCTTTGCTCCCCAGTAACTGGAAAGTACTTAACCTTTACCAACACTCTAGGCTATGGGCTTAAAATAAAATGAAACCTGTAGCCTGCTATTTCATCATGTTCAGCACTGTTGTATTACAGCCAATTCCTGTCTCCTGACTTCAAAATCTCCCACTCTGATTGTTTTGTCTTGCCTCTGTTTTTTGTTTGTTTGGTTTTTTTTAAACCAGACACCAGGGGAATGCAGAGAGGGGCCCCTCAAAGGCCTCTGGGCTCCAAAGGCTCCTAGTCATGCTTGAGGAGGAGTCTTTCTTTCTTTTCTTTCTTTCTTTCTTTCTTTCTTTC